GGGCACGGACAGTCAGCCGCGTCGCTTCAGCCCGGAGCACCCTCGGCGGCCGCGCCTCCCGCCCTCCGTCCTTCTGCCCGGCCCCGCGCCACCATGCCCGCCGTGGACAAGCTCCTGCTGGAGGAGGCGTTGCAGGACAGCCCCCAGGTACCTCCCGCCGCTCCGGTCACCTTGCCCGGGGACGGGAGGCCCCTCGAGTCCCGGGGTGGAGGCCGGGAGGGGGCACCCCGCAGGCGGGTCTGGACAACCCGAGAAAGGGCCCCCCCCCGCCCCCGCGGCCGGAGTCTTTGTGTCCTGACCCCTTTTCCAGAGTCAGCCGAAACTGACGCTGCCCGGCCCAAACTCGGGCTCCGTCTCTTTGCTGAGTGCCTCGGAAAAATAACCTTTTTGTGCCGCAGTTTTTACATCTGTAACACAGGGATAATAATTGTCCCCGCCTCATAGAATTGTCAGAATTAAATAAGGGAATGCCTGTAAAGTTGTTAGCGGGCAACGTCTGGTACAGAAGAAGTAGTCAATCTTAGTTATTACTACTACTGCTACTTACTGATGCGATGGGTCCTGGTGGATTTAGGGCCAAGATGGGAGGCAGAGAGTCCAGCTCTCTTTCCGGTACCCTTCGGCACGGTTTTCCCATTTTGTCAAGAGAAAATTACAACACCTGCCCCATTTGTCGCACAGGGGGACTTCATTAGCACGCTCGAGATGAAAGTTAAGTCCTTGGAGCTCTGCAGATGAAAGCTGCTGTGTAAATAGAGCAGATGAGTGCAGAATGACAGGAGTTCATAATTCAGTGCCCTTTTTCTTCAGGGAACTTTTTTGCTCCGCATTAGCACTGCCTGGCTTCATATCTCCTCTCCTGGTTCCGCATCCCTGGGTTTATTTAAATCAGCCTTTTTATCCCCAGGTGTCTCAACTCTTGAAAAATTAGAATGAGATTAACTGTTTTCCTTCTCTTTTCGGTTCCCTTCCTTATTCTTAGCAAATTGCACTCCTGGGATGATCTTTTGATGGTCTTACTTACTTTTTACTTACCCACTCTGCATCTTGCCAGTTCAGAATCAGCAGTCAAAGGGCCGTGTGCTTAGTTGCCTGTGTCCATTTCTTTGTGATCTTCCTTAGGGTAGGCAAGAAACTTGAGCAAGCTGTGGCTTTTTTTTTTTTTAATTGGCATCCGCTGGTCTGATTGACTTTTCAAAGACCTCTTTGAAGTTTCTAGACTTGTGGCATTTTAATGGGACCGAAGCCCTTTGGAGAAGTCATTTTGTCTGTCTTCACACATAATGTGAGATATGAAGAGAATAATGTAGAATTTCTAAGGATACCGTTTTGAACAGGGATTTCTGTTTGCTTTGTATTCCAGAAGTGCAAAGATGTATTGCTTTCCTAACTGAGCATGGTGATGGCTGAGCCAGGTCAGAGAGGTTGCGCTGATTCTCCTGTGTTGCCCTCATTGCGAAGTCACATTCTGCATTTCTGACTCTCACATAAGTGAATATGCACCATTTCTGAGTGGTTTACAGGGTTTGCTCAGCTGGGAGGAAGCAGAGAGAGGACTGGCAAACAAGGCAGGAAAACTGGATCCTAATTCTTGCTCTACCACTAACTTACGTGATTGGGGCAAGTCACTTATCCTTACCCTGTGGTTGACTCAGTCTTCTCATCTGCAGAATGAGGGATGTGGAGCAGTTGATCTTTAAGGGGCTTTAGAAGCTTAAAATTATATTATATTGCATGGTTTATAATTTTGACCTTGTATGTGGAAGAGGAGGTTCAGTGGCATTGGCATTCCTATATAATGTTCTTCTTAATGTAGGGAATTTGTTACTGCTTTTAGGACTTGGGTGTCACCTTACCAGGATTCTTCATGAGGTTGTTCAGCGGAAGCTAACTTTCAAGAAGGCTTTGATAATCATCGGAATATATTTATTTAGCAGTCTTATATGGGGCGTGTGCCTAAAGTGGCCTTATTCCCAAGGAAACCCATAGATTTGGAACTGGAGAAAAGTTAATCTAATTCCTTTTATGTGTAAAGAATAAAAACAATAGCAAACACCTATATCACACATGCCTTTTATGCGCCAGGCATTATTCGAAATGCTTTACCTGTATTAATTCACTTAATATTCCCAACAATCTTTTGAAGTAGGTCTCCTATGAAAGTTACCAAGGAGTAGAGAAGTTAAATAACTTGCCCAAGATTATATACTATACAGTGGCAGAGCCAGGATTGGAACCCAGGCAGTCTAGCCTATATTGTTCAAGTTGGTCCAGCTACCTGGCACCTGGCCTTTCTATCACCGGTGACCTAAAATGTTTCACTGAAAGGAAGAGATCCTAAGAAACCATCTACTGTTTGTTTCTTCTAGTTTTATGAAGAGTAGTTATGAGGGTTGCTGCAGCAACCTGCACATGATTCATTAAGTGAACACAAAAGCTTTTGTAATTGAACTCAGTGACCCAAGAAGAGCTGAATAGCAGTTGACCGTCCTTAGACACATCTATTCATTTCGTCCTTTTTAGTACAGCACGGTGTACTGAAGACTAGTCTGTGCATATACATATCATTTCTGGTTACATCTGATATGTGAGAGGCAGAATGTTTTGGGGACAAAGCTACTTGTCTCCGTTGCCGTCCGGGAGCCTCTGCTCCTTGCCAGGCGCCACTAGATGCTGGGAATATAGTGACAAGGTAGGAGTGCCTGCCTTCCACGGGGCACAGTCTGTCCCAGGAGACAGATAAGGAAAGCAGGGCCAGGGCCGTGTGAATGGGCTGCGGTAGGAACACAAACGCAGCTTTGAGCTGCTGCCACTCAGACTTCTGCAGGGGCTTATTGGCTTTTGTGTAAGTAGTCCGCTTTTGAGATAAGGTGAAGACAAAAGCGGTATTACTTGCTGTTTTCTTGATTTTTTGTGTGTTTGTTTCCTTTGCAGTTGGCAAAACTGAAGCCCAGAGAAGTTAAAGACTTAGTTCTGAGATTATTCAGGGAGTGGTCCAACTGGCGAGAGCCCTCCTTGACCAAACCAGGCTGTCTTTACTCAAGCAAGAGGCCTCAAAACAACCTGGTGGTTATGTGTTCATTGTGGAGAATAATATGTGTTTTTTATAATCAGTTATTAAAATTGTGCCATTATATGATCAGATGCTATTCTGGAGAATAAAAAATGTCTAGGACTATTTTATTAGGTAACACCCAGCTTCTTTAAGATGGAGGGATGATGTGGATGCTGAGGCTATATTCTTAGGGTGTTTGGTTTTTCTGGCTAGGCATACTCTTAAAAATGTAGGGTAGTAGAAAAAAGATGGAATTGAAATCCTGATTCAGCCACTGTTACCTTAGGCAAGTTACTCGACCTCTCTGAGCTTGTGTTTCAACATGTGTAAAATTAGAATAAAAATATTTACTTAATAGGATTCTTATGAAGATGAATAATGTATGTAATGTGTCTTCATGCCTACATGTCATAGTAACTCCGTAAACGATTGCTGTTATTATCTTTATAAGTGATAGGCTTCAGGGTCTTTCCCACTTGTAAGTAGTCTTTGATGTCTGGTGTACCTTTGACTGGTCCTTGGTCTCATTCCTTACGTTTCAGTTATAGAACATTCCTGTTGTTCCAGATATAAATTTAAGCAGATATGGAGCTGATAATGTGGGTATCAAAACAGTGTCTAAGATGGCTGGGCAGGTTTTTCTCAGTGGTGATCATGGCCTAGTTAGAAAGACTGGATTTTTCTTGCCAGTGCTAATGGGGGTGGTCATGGTAAACCTGTCCAGAGTGTAAGGAAACAAAACACTTGTGATATAGATTTGGCAGTTATTATAGGGAAGTGTGTGACAGGATGACCGAAGGGAAGCCGGCTACAGGCAGGACTTGGGCTGTGGACCACAGCACATGCCCACTGATAATGCTCGGCCAGCTGGGTGACAGGTGCAGCCTCCTGCAGGGGAGGAAGCAGGCCATTGGTGCCGGTTGGACCTGGATTGACATCCCAGCCCTGCTGCTTCCCAGCCATGGGAGGTTGAGCAAGTTTCTTGACCTTGATGAGCCTCAGTTTTATTATCTGTAAAATAGGGTTAATTATCCATGGTATCTACCTCATAAAGCTGTTGGAAGGATTAAATGAAAAAACAAATATTTAGTGCTCAGCACAGTGTCTCACACACAGGAGGTACAGAGTAAACGGGAGGGTTCGTTTTCTTTCTCTTCTCTTTGTGGAGGATATTTACATAAGCCTTCTTTTCATCTTCTCATTTTCCATTCTGTTTCATTCCTGAGAGTTTTATTTATTTATTAAAGATTTTATTTATTTATTTGACAGAGACAAAGTGAGAGAAGGAACACAAGCAGGGGGAGCGGGAGAGGGAGAAGCAGGCTTCCTGCTGAGCAGGGTACCTGATGGGCGGCTCGATCCCAGGACCCCAGGATCATGACCTGAGCTGAAGGCAGAGCTAACGACTGAGCCACCCAGGCGTCCCTCATTCCTGAGAGTTTTAAAAACAATAAGTAGGCCTCGACTAAATGGATATCAGCAGTAGTTAGAAAAATGAAATAGCCTCAATCCAGTTGTACCATTCTTTCCTTCTCATTTTCCTAGACATGTTAGTTATAGCAAAGAAAAATACCAGAATCATAATAAACGTGAGTGAGGGCCTCCAGCACTGACACCATGAATACAAAGAGACAAAAAGGCCCTTTACTATAGATAACATTTATAGATAACTGTATAGATAAGTATTGCTGTGGTGTTAAAATGAAATCTTACAGAGACTCATGCTCCTTTCCTTTCTGAGTCTCCCAGATGCTCCATCCGTATCTGCTCTCTATCTTCAATAAACTCTGCTCTCACTTAGAAAAAAATGAAATCATACATGTAAAGCCCTTAGTGTGCAGCATTTAATAAGCAATCAAAGTTCATTATTTTCGTAATCAGTATCAGCTGCTAGCACCATACATCACACACTGGTAGGCACTTTATGTATATTCATTATCCCAGTAACCCTGCGAATTAGTGTTAGAGCCTGAACTTGGACCCAGGACTGACATGGTCCCAAGGGGATCCCAGATGCTTTGAGAGGCAGAGCAGGCTCTAAGCTCCTGGAGAACATAGGGTCGGTTCTAATCACCTCTGAATCCCAGTTGCCAGCACGATGTTTCGGCAGATACTGGATGAAGGCAGAGATGCATGCATCAGTGAATGAATACAATCTCTCTCTCTTTTTTTTTTTTTTTCCAAAATAGAAAGTATATTTTAAAAAGATAAAATGAAGAGTTTGGAACCAGTGTTTTTCACTTACTGGTTGACATCCATGCATTGATTACCAGAGCCAGTGGGTCACAGTCATGATTTCTGTTTACAAATGGAAGAGAACAGAATAGAGCAGGAAAAAATCGGAGTGTATATGCATACTAATGATAAACATTGTTTGGTCACATGTGTTTCATTACCACTGTTTTTAATTTTAGAAGGTTTGAAGAACTCTCCTCTGGCACACGAATTTATATGCTGTATGAACTCTGATATTTTGCTGTCATTGAGAGCTTTTTAAAAACCTGTCTTACATTTTCCATATTCATTGCATCTGGTCCCTCTGTTGATAAGGATTGTTACTGAAGAGAGTACCTTGGTTTCGGAGAAGGTATTTTTAGCCTTGAAGGCTTCAGGCAAAGCCAGGACAATTGTGTCTGGCCCAAGTACACTGGAGTTTGGGGGACAAAATCAAGGGGAGACTGAATGATCCTAACGCCCAGGTGATTGAGGGTGCTTTGAAGTAAGTCACTGCTCTCTTACCTGAGGTTAGAAAAAGAAAGAAGGAATTGAAATTCAAATGCAGGGAGATAATGAGTCTTAATAGATTGTTCTTTGTAAAGTGCTTTGATATCTTATTAAAAGCATTTCTGTAATTTTCTTTTTTTTTTTTTTTTAAAGATTTTATTTATTTATTTGAGAGAGAATGAGAGAGAGAGAGAGCGCATGAGAGGGGGGAGGGTCAGAGGGAGAAGCAGACTCCCTGCCGAGCAGGGAGCCCGATGCGGGACTCGATCCAGGGACTCCAGGATCATGACCTGATCCGAAGGCAGTCGCTTAACCAACTGAGCCACCCAGGCGCCCCATTTCTGTAATTTTCTGTCCATCCTGTGCCTAATGGATTATTTTTAGAGACCCCATTATCACTGACATAATATTTTAAATTCCCACTTTGCTGGACACTTAAAGTCCCTTGAGTAGATATGGTCACTTATGTGACACCTCAATACTTATTTAGATATCATCTCCTATGTAAATATTTCTTCAGTGTTCAACGTGTCAGGCTCTGTGCACAAGAACAATAGGAAATGCCTTCCATCAAATGACATTGCTCAGCTGCTCTGGGGCACTGAGTGGTTAGCCTTCCTGAAGGAACAGAGCTAGCATTCTTGTTAAGTTGAGATTTCAGTTTTGTGCCCAGATCTACTGCTGGTGGACCCAGAGTATACGAAATTTCCTGGCTACACGTTTAAAATTAGTTGAATAAAAGGTGACGAAAGACATGGAAATTGACTGTAGTAGCTTAGGAGGAAAGAATGACGCACCCCTGCAAGATGTCCAAGTTTGCAGAAAACCAGACAGATGGTTAGCTGCTGGGGTGATGCGCTGCTGGGCGTCCACACCGCAGGTAAACACACAGGCCTGGTGTTGTGTGCAGTTTATGGGCTGGAAAGGAGAGGCTGCCTTTTTAACTTTTTTTTTTTTTTTGGACTCTCCTGGTGCTTAGATAGGGGCTAAGTCGAAACAGATAATAGCCCTCAAGTCTTACTCTTTAAAAAATTGGCTTTCCTTCTCTGGCCCCAAATTGTATTCAGTTTGCCCCTGTGTTGTAGTCTGAAGGATTAGGAAAGTAGTTCTAAATTAAAGCTCCAGAAATCAACTCTTCCTAGTATTATCGGTAAAAGAATAAAGCCGGAGAATTGGCACCTTCCTTCCCCATTTCAGAGAGGGGAGTGTGTGTGTGTGTATGTGTTTTCTACCTCCTTTGTAACGTTTCCACTCAGAAATAAAGTCAACTTCTTCTTTTCTCGTAGACTCGCTCTTTACTGAGTGTATTTGAGGAAGATGCTGGTACCCTCACGGATTATACCAACCAGCTGCTCCAGGCGATGCAGCGCGTCTACGGAGCCCAGGTATCCTGCTGTGCCTTCCCCCCAAGAGGAGGAGAGTAGGAGCCCCCTGCCCTCATCTTGGACTTCTCTCAAGGGGCTGAGAAATTTGAGTCAGAACAATACCATTGAAAATTTGGAAGTAGAATCAGAATTGTCTTCCTCAAGTCCGTTCACCTTAAAACACTGAGGACAGTCTGTTTTCTCTGCTTAAGAAAGTGGGTAATTTTCCTGTAACTAGTAAAACTAGTAGAGGAGGACCACGTCACTGGTTTTAATTTTTTAAAAAACTCAGCCCCAGAGGGAAACATCTGAATCTCCTCTTCCTATTTGTGAATGAGCGGGGTCAGTATCCTGAGACATGCTGTTTGTCTTTCTCATAAATGGGAGTCTTAGACATCCAGGCAGGAGGGTAGGGAGGGTTTTCCACGTGCTTCTTCTGAGAAGGCTTGAGTCACACTTCTGAAACTGTCGGGTGGCTTCTTTGTTTTGAGGAACAAATATCTCTGACTTGCAGAACAATGGAAAATAAATTGCTGAGTAGCAAAAGTGAATTTTTTTTAAGATTGAGAAGTGCCTGTGTATGTTACGTTCTAAGGGAAGACTTACAAATTACTTAAAATTCATTATGTTGCACGTCAAAATATTAATGGCTTGCTGATGCTTTTCATTATTGATTCCTTGCTGACTTAAATCTGTATATGTCAATGTTTCTTTTTCTCATCGATCTCTAAAGAGATACCACATTCAGTATATAATATATACTAATAATTGTATGTAGTCATTTCTTATATAGCTCTTGATATTCATATATGATCATTTATTATTATTGTTTTATTAGTCATTTATTCATATTGTATAGGGGAAGAAGACTCAGTCCTTGCCATTAGAGAGTTATGTTTGGGTGGGGAGACAGAGAAAACATTTATCTAAGAGTGTTAGCACCACTAGGAGAGGAGGTCGCCTAACCCAGAGGAATTGTGCTCAGCACCCAAAGAGAGGAGGATTGTGACAGTCGAGATTAATTGAGTATTTCGTAGCTTCTGGGCATGATTTCAGGACTTTTACAGCAACTCTGTGAGGTAGGCATTGTTGGCAGTAGCCTCATTTTATAGGTTAGGAGACTTAAGGATTCCAATGACAATTGACTTGTCCAAGTCCATCCCGTTACTACATGGCAGAGCAAGTCAGCCCGGACCTGAAGCCCAAACTCCCAGCTACGAAACCTGGGGCAGCCTGAACTAGGGAAGTGGCAGTAGAAATGGAAAGAAGTGGATGAAATTCAGAGGTGTTCAAGAGACAGAATGGTGACTCACTGGATGTGAAGGGGTCAGATGTGTGAAGGATGAGTGCAGAATGATGTCCAGGTCTTTGACATGAACAACAGGGTGGATAGTTGGGAGCACATAGAAGAGATGGGGGTGTGTGTGTGTGTGTGTGTGTGTGTGTGTGTGTGTGTGTGTGTGGAATGGCAGGGATACCAATCATAATTCTTTCTTGAAAGGCTGATTTTGAGGTGTCCATGGGACATCAAAGTGGAGAAAGAGCTTGTTGAAAGTTCCGATCTAGAGTTCAGGCTGGAGATACAGATTTGCAAACTCTACTGTATTATACAAGTGTAACTTAATTGGGACTGATTTTAAAACCCAAACAAATCATGTGCTCATTGTGAATCTACTTGTTGTTTTGGTAAGACATTCAGAAACTGGAGACATATTATGTTGATTTTTTAAAACCCTATTTATATTGTATGTTTTTATATCCCCTACATGTTCAAAATTTAAGAAAATAGAAATTTTTTTCCCTGGACTTGGACCTGAACTTACTTGCTGTTCAGTAATTTGAATATTGTCGTTAAATGACTTGTCTCCCGTTTAAGGTTTAGGAGCCCACGACTTAAGGGACGATGTCTCTGTCACTCCCAAGAGTCTCTGTTCTGCCTCTCCATGTCTGTCAGAATCATTTACTTGGAGATGTCCAGAGGCTTTCTTACGCGTTTTTTCTTTTGAGCCAGAAAACTACATTTTGCCAAAATTAAGTGGGTCGTGCATTCCAAGAGTCTGTAAACCGGCTTTTAATTCACACCACATGATTATCACATGGGTTCTCTACTGGCCAGAAACCCTTCCTCCTTCCTCGGCATTTCCTGCAGCAGAGGCTCATGGGAAGGGCTGGTTAGTGCTGCCAGACTCAGCGACAGATCCAAGCAGTGGCCAGCGGCATCCAGATCGGCTGGGTCAGGGTCAGCTGGTTTTCAGGTTTATGTGAAGGCTTAAGTGTCTTCTTTTGTTTCTTTGTAATTAAAAAAAAACGAAACTTCGGGGCGCCTGGGTGGCTCAGTTGGTTAAGCGACTGCCTTCAGCTCAGGTCATGATCCTGGAGTTCCAGGATCGAGTCCCGCATCGGGCTCCCTGCTC